ATAATTCTCATTAGTTATACATAATAAAACCCAACTTTTCGTACTTTCGATCAATAAGTTCTCTTGAAATATTTGAAAAAAAAAATAAGTTTTAAATTTCGTAATTTAGAATAAGTAACCATAAGGCAACAGTGGTAACGAAAGGGTTAATTACTCCCATGAACACCACGAAGAGACGGGTATCGGTGGGACTATACTGCGCTCGAAGAACTTGAGCATGTCGATACCACTTCTCGAAACTGAAACTAATTAGTAGAATCGTGCGTGTGTGTGGTATTAGAACGATTCTATTTACGGTTTTGTTGGCCATGTAATTCATGAAAGGACCGATCGGCAGCACGCAAGGTCGCAGACTCTGGGAAACAAGGTGTCCATTGACTCGTTGACTTCTCAATTAATCGTTCTTGCGCTTTATCGGCCGCGCAAAACCGTGGAGGGCGGCGCGCGCCTTTGAAGTTCCTCGCAGGTCGAAACCGGGGCCGCGGCACGATCGACGCGTTTCCAGCTGGCGAACAAACGTGGGAAACGGCCCGGAACGCAAATAGTTTTCGCGGAATGGTGGCGAGAAACCACGGGAAAATTGTGGTCGAAGTTGCTCGGAATTCTCGACCGTTTATTATCCAAATTCAGGCCTAATGGTAGTCTCTTTACTTATCAAAAAATCGTTTTTTTTTTTACTTTTTTGCGTTATCTTAAAGTTTAACATTTCGAGAATATAATCCTCAAGCGATTTAGCTCGATTCGAAATATTAGGAAAGTCAAACCACAATACATAAGAATTGAAAATTTTTTGTGTGGTTTTATAGTTACGCTCGCGCAGTGTGTCTTACAGATTCGAATTGGGGGAATCGTCTGAATTTATTACACGAATTGACGGAGTCTTTCAGCAATTATTAAACACGACGATTTAACTTCCGACCCGTTTCGGTAATGACTTGTTCTTCATCCCAGAGGAATTTCTCATCGGTAGGACTTGCGTAAGACGCAGAACAGGGACGGGAATCGGTTTCAGCGTAAGACACGACGGACACTGTGGCTCGTACGCAACACCCAAGCCGCTAACAATTATTTTATTATTGTCCCAATTACGCCGTTATTGTTTTCACACACGCGCGACGGATCACTTAAAGCGGTTTGAGGCGGCTTCTGCGATCGTCCACCGGGTGATTCAACCGTCTGGATTTTTACGCTCCCGGGAGAGGCGGTTCGGTCGTTCATCGTTGTCGAGGCTGCTCGCCAGTCGGAGCAAAAATTCCACTGACCAGGCCAGCGAGGCCGGATTTTTTACAAGATTCTCGCGAACCCAATTGTCTAGAAACGTCCGAAGATGCAGTAGTGCCACAAAAAAAATCATGAAGGTGGGATTTTTAAATTAAAACACCTTTTTTAGTATGATATATTCAAAACACAGATATATATATATATATGGATTATATAATGTAATGAATATAATATATATTTTTATAATTATACATTATATTATATATACATAATATATATAAATTCGAAATCGCCCAACTTGCGAGCTGCGATATCTTGAAAAATTCCTTACAGTTTTAACTCAAAATTCGTCAAAATTGCGATAAATCGCCCAATTTGACGACACTAGGCCAGGCGACTGGTTGCCCGTCGTGAAAAGTTTTCTTGAAACAGCTCCACTCATTCCACATTCTAGTTTACAATTTAACCGAAACCCAGCGTGATCGTAATTTTCCTAAGGGACGAGCCTCCTTGTCAGAGGTCGCGAAACGAGAAGAATTGGCGAAGAAATCGTGTTCCGGTCCGTGGCATCCCGTCTCCATAAAGCGTTCCATGTATCTCTCCGGCGTTATCGAGATATTCCGTGCATTATACGTAAAGTAAACTTGGGCAATCCTTCGGGGCGGCGAGGATACCTCTAAGTTTCGTGTACCGACGATATTGCTTCTGTATCCGAGAGCAATTTCGACTTTAGCCCCCTGGAGGGAGAGAGCTTCCAGTTCCCTCTTCCGGCACGTCAGACGTGAAACAGAAACGGCATATGCTGTGTGTCTCTCTACTCTCTCGAAAGGTAATATCACGTGGGAAATTTCGGTCTACGTTTCGTCGCACACCCTCTCAAATACGGGGCTCCTTAATATGATCGACGATAAATGTAATTACGCGCGGATCGTCGGTAATTTAATATCCGACTTCGAACCGCGAAAGAAGTCACCGGAATTCATCTTCGTGAGTGCACGTCAGGATACGACGAGAGAGAAAGATAGGTAGAGAGAGGGGAAAAAAAGAGCCGCGACCCATTTTCCGTGTTTTAAATATCCACGGCTCGCAGCCACAGGGGCGAGCGCACGACGGTTTCGCACTGCGGTTTCAATATTCATCAGAACTCGGCCCAAGTTTCGTGCACTTAGCTCTCTTGCTATACAGTATATATATGTATATGCATATAATCCCCCCGGAACACCGCTCTCACGGCTTTATCCCCGGGGGTGATCTATCCGTGACACCCTGAAACCCTGGAATTTGGCCTGGCCCAATTTGGTCGAGATCGCAGGCTGCTACGGCGCCATCTTGGTCCCGGACGTTACAAATACCGATTCTTCGTCTCGACGAAACGGCGGAATGTTTAACGTCGATCACGATTTTGTTGGTGATGAAGAGATAAAATAATTGGAACGAAGAGATAAAATTATTGGATATGTCGTGATTTTTATGTCATTATTGGAAGGACAGAGAAGAATTTGGAAGAACTTGGAAGATGTTAGAAGAACCTGGAAGAATTTTAAAGAACATCAAAGATTTTGGAAAACGAGACCAAAATATTAGATGTTCCGCGGTTTTAAAATCGTGATCCAAGATGTTGGAAGAACTTGCATGATTTTTAAATAAGTCATTAAACTATAGATATATCAGCGTTTATAATGTCGTAAACTGAGCTTCTTTATTCAAAAATTCAACAAATTGTTGGTTATCTAAGAAGATCATGTTACTCATCCTTACCAACGTGGGTCACAGGTGTCCCGATTGGTACATTACTCGAATCATCTTTGCACACCTTCGGTGTACAGTGGGTGGTCCATTAGCAGAAATTACACCTGCAGCCACGTGAATTAATCCCGTCTTCGTCACTCCCGAGGGTGGTTCAGCAAAGTGCAAAGGGAGACACGCAGTTAAGGCTGATTTCCAGGGACACGTGGTCCCTATGCTACGGAGGCCGCAAATTGCCGAGGAACATCATCAATCGACTATCGGCAAACAAATCCTCTAATCCCGTGAATCAAAGGGAACAGCGCGTGGCGATCTTCATTGCACATATCACGGTGATTGCTTTCACGCACGCGGATGGGCCCCGACTGTGTCCAGCCTCTGTCGTGTTCTCTGCTCCTGTGTCCCTTTAAGCGAGCAGGGAGACGCCTTGTAATCTTGGACACGGTGGCGACACGGTGATAAAACTGGAACCGTTGACACCGTTCGCGTATCTGCCCGGTCTTCTTGTTTCTGCGTCACACGGACGGTTGTGTCCCGCAGAGGTGATATGTCGTTGATAAAAAAACGTCGAGCTTCGGGGGAACTTTTTCTGCGCTGAAACAGGTTGGGTTGTTGCGATTTGACTATATATACTACAACCTCGTCCATACGGTTGGTAAACAGTCGTGAACGGTGATTCTTGGACAAGCTGGATATCACGCGAAAAAATATTCACTGTCCTCGAAATAATTATTTATTCCAATTCGACTGCAGATTTTATGCAATTATTGGAAATATGAATTTACAGAACGCAATAGAGTAACTGTTCTCGTGAAGATTAGCATCGATTTGTCTTCACTTGATTTCAGTTTTCAAAATTTGAATTTGCATAAATAACCGCACTCTAATTATAAAAAAAAAATCGTAAAGCAAGGGGTTATGTTATCAACGGATCAGTGGGAAATCGCGAGCAAGTCACGACAGTGGACACTTTTCGGAAGTTCTGTCGGGAAATTATTTTCCAGCGCGAAACAGGTGGCCTCAGATTTCCAATGTCTGCTCGAAAAAATCGTCACGCCGATGTTCCTTCTTTTGTTCACGGCTGGAAATCGCGAATGGTATTTATTCGATACGGATCGATGTTGCGAGCATTACCATTATTGCTCTTATTACTTACTCCCATTATATTAAATTTACGGTCACGGGGGCGAAGTAGGTTCGTAATATCGCGGAGTGCTCTCTCGTCCCGTACAATGTTTTCCCACTCGATATTCGCCAACCGAGACACCGCAGTAATAGTAAATCCACGGGATCCCCCATGGCCCTGAAGTTTCCCTTACGAAAGCTTCTGTCTAGAGATTCTGCCCCCACCACTGTGATGTTGTAACGGTCTTCGGGAAAACTCTCGATCAATTAGTTTGATTTTTACATTGAGGGAGCACGAAGCTCACCAAGGATTCCAAGAAATCGCAACCAACAGATAAACGAACGTGTCCAGATGATTTTTTCCCTAGGTGAGAATAGTTTAACTGGATTTCTCGTCACTCAATCTCCGGGAATCGGTGAGCCCGAAGAGCTCGAGAACTCGAAGAATCTTTGACTGGGTACGTGCCCGTTCAGAGTGTATCACGGCTACCGAGCGGTTGCACACCGTACACGTTGCATAATATATTTTCGAGTCGTTCAAGGCGGGAGGGTGCACGTCTCACCCCCTCTTCCCTCCCCCTGTCGACAGGGTTTCATCGACCAATCGGTGCGGGGGTGGAGCTTAAACTGGCCGACGATGTCAGCACCTTTTTCTCTCTCGCGAACGCCTTCCTCTGTTCTCACGTGCATTCACGCCTCTCTTGTCTCTTACCCTTATTCCCTGATCCATATAAAGTTCAGAGGCTTTTCCGAGGCCCCCTCATCGATGCCACTGCCGCTGCCGATCGAAATCAACCGATATGCGATGCACCTTCGATGTCCTTTGCTCCAGTTTTCTTTTTTCTTTTTCTTTCATCTTGGTCGGGGTGCGCCTCGATGGAATTTTATTTTGGAACATTTCGTTTCAGATCCGCCTATGAACGGGACCCAACTGGAGCACCAGCATCTCGTTCCGAAGTCCACGCGCGATTGCGAATGTGAGTAATTAGTAATTAATAGAATCTAAGTAGATGCTTGTTAGCAGTAATAATGAGATAGGTTCAACGAGGAATGATTCGATTTATTAGTTTTCTTATAGTTTGACATTTCTGCTAGGGGCTACCTGATTGCGCTCTTCTTTCCTTCTTGGGCAAAAAATTCCATCAGGCACACCTGAAGTGATCTGTGATAAATTAATAATTGGGGTAGTAATTTATATTTAAGTAGGTAAATTAATATTTCCTTGGCTAACAGACAGATAAAAGCGCAACTAAACGTGTATCATACCGTTTATTCGAAAGGTGTCCCGCCATTCGGTTCTTTATACCTTCCAAGGCCCCTTTCACCCTTCCACAGCTTCTATTTTGCTCCACAAAAGGAGCCGTGAAGAAAAATATATGCGGTCGACGTCTGATCTGTACCCGACTGTCGAGGATCTCCACGCGACTTTTCCATTCCCGACCCGGATGCATCTCTCCGCCGACGAAACCATACCCCTCCCCCAACCCATCGCGAACTTTCTCGTTTTTTCCCTTCTTCTTTCACGCCTCATTGTCGGAACGAGTTAAAAAGAAACTCCCCCGCCCTCTCCTCTAGCCACGTGGAAGAGCAACTAGAGGCCGATCGATGAGAGAACAGAGGGATTCGTTATCGTTCTATCCGTCTCTCCACGTCCTAGCCACTGGGAGCTGTTTCCTCCCGTTTGTTGTAAACGCGAAACGGGCTGAAGGGAAATTTTAATCGGTCCGGTGACCTCCTGCTTTTGTCTCGTTCTTGCGAGCGTTACTCTCACAGTCGAAGAAATTCGGAAAGTATTCGGAAAGTCCCTCGTGTTTATCATTTAAACAACACTGCTTAAGTATATGCTACAAAGGTTTGCATTGTATTTATTGTTCTAACCCTTGCGAATGTTATTTTAACGTGAAAACAGTTGAAAACCTACAACATCGGCTTCCCGACCTCCACAGGATACAACTAACATACACCACCAAACAATTAAAATTATAATTCCTACTAATATAAAAGAATTTCCCTAAATCACGAGACAATCCTGTCTGAAATCGTTCACATAAATCCCATTCCCAGATATAATTGAAAACAAAACCTCTGTTTCCTTTCATCCCCATCTCGAGATCTCGAAACCGCTGGAATTTAATGAAACCGTGCAGGGAGGAGGGATAAAAGAGATTAGCGCGATACGATGTTTCACGCAGCGGTTGGGCCATTAGCGGAGCAGTTTTTCGACCGTGCAACAAAAGGATTCCACCACCCGCTGATCCCCTCTCGAGAGGGGTGGTTCGAAACGAAAGGAACCGGTTGGTGAGGGAGGAGTGGCGGTAGCATCCGACTTCCGGGGGTCGTATTTGACCCGAATCGGCGATTGTTGCTCGGCCGCGAGCGATAAATTCGCGGATTATATGGGGCGTCGGCCGGGTTCACCAGAGAGAGACAGAGTGATAGAGGGTTGGTGGGAGGGGATGGGGTTGGAAAACGGGGGTATGTCTCCTCGACCCAGTTCCCGGCGCGGCCGTAGATTGTACGCACCCCCGATACGAGCATTTCGCATCCGGGGTGGCGTGTCGAGTGCCTAAATCGCGGCTCCTCCTCGACCACCCCCCTCTTCACCCCCAACCCCTCCCTCAATAACGAGGCTGGAACCCCTTTGAATCGGAAATAAGGTTCTTTCGTAACAATTCCGGGAAATCGATCTATTTCTACAGTTCTCTAACGACCTCTCGACCAATTATTCGGTATAATTAATCGTTCGATATTATCATTTATTCGATACCCGAATAGCAGAGTGACATTTACCATCCAGGAGAGTCAAGGATTTGTCGGCGCTCTCTTCGGGTTGCTCGTGGAATTGAATACGCTTTGGACATTGCAGTTAGTTGCCGGTGAAATTAATCTAATTAGGAGAGAGATTTTTTTGTGCTTGTTATACAAAAATATAAAAAATTTTTTTTATTCGTATTATGCATTTGCTTTTCCGTGTTGGTTCTGCGATTAATGAAAGCAACGTTACTCTCTATTTTCGATTCATTTTCTCACGTAGAATCACCTAATACCCGCTTGTGCAATAACTTTCGGAGGCACCTTGTATTATTCGAATAAAATTGTACTCTGTCATGACTTTACCCAAATAATCTAAACGAATAATTTATCCTTGTTCGCTCGTAAATTTCCGTACAACCATGAGGAAAATATAGTTACAAACACAGAACAACAACCGACAGATACATCACCGGATAGCCAAACAAAGTAAATGTTTGCGTATAATCAGATCAGGTTTCGTTATTCAGGCGGGAACAACTAATGGATTACCGCGGATTAAACTCGATTGGGCCCCCTCCATGGGCCAGAGTAACGCGTAATTTATAATAATTACGCGAGCATCGATTCTCTCATCCCAGCAAATCGTACCAATAAAATCGAAACTCGACTGAATTATCGATTCGAGGGTGGGATGATGCCCAGCCGTGTCCGAGATTAGTTTCCGTGGGGATAACAGTGTCGATCGAGCGTATGCCAACGATAATCGTCCGGTGTTTCCAGCGCGTTCGATGCTGATCGGTAAATAATTCGCTTGGTGATTTCCTTTGTTCGAGAACGTCGCCCGTATATTAATTTCGGATATCGGGCGCGATCGACGAACCATGAGACACGATTTTAATCGTTCGAAGAAAACAACGGACGAGCCGCAATGCAACGACGAACCCCGTTTTCAACGTTGTCGCGGGGCTAATTGGCCGGTGATTATCGTAAAAGTCGCGCGGCGAACCTTTATACCCGTGACAATTAAATAATATATTAGGAGACTGAGGCTGGTGAGCCAGTTTATCAGGGTTTGATTTTTAATAAATTATTGCGGGTTAAATATCATTGTCCTTGATAAAACTATTCATTTCGGATCGTGATTCGTGTAACATGTTTTCGTATGGTTCACCAGAGTTGTTTCGAATTGGAATTTTTATACGTTCGCGGCGGTGATCGCGCAGCTATTTCGGAGCCATTTTTTATGATTAATACGCGATCCACAGTCCGTTGAACAGCGACAAAACAGCAACCGTCAGTCAATTACAGACGAACGTTTGCCGCCGCGGGGAATTTGATTAGGTTAATTCGATAACGAGCTTATTTCGGTAGGTGACTCCCCCGGCCGGAAGCCCTCCCCGCTTATAACGGAATTGAACCGCCAAGACACGAATCCTGCAGCCTCGCCGGATGTGATATAAACGACTTAGTTCACGGGGAATGCGGAATGGAATGGCTGGAATCCTATTGATTGCTTTGGTTTCGCTCGTCGCCGGGCTGCCTTGACTGCCGGGCGGTCTAAGAATTTGAATGACTGCACGGGATCGTGAGGAGCTTGTAAAAAGCTCTCCCCTTTCTCTCTCTGATTCCAATTCCAATCCTTCAGCCAGTCTTCGAAACGAGAAGAAGAGGACCAAAAGACTGACGATTACTACGATTTAAAGACGTTACATTGCTCGAAATACTTAACACTGTTTTTGGAACGGGTGAAATTACTTGGGACTTGATCGAGGGAGGAGTGAAGCGAGGAATACAGTGGAAATGTTAAAAAATAGAGATGTGCAAAGACAAGTGTAATAGAACAGAATAATAGGGAGTATATATAATGATAAATATAAGGGTGGGTATACTGCTATTGGGGAACTCGCGAAGTACTAGAAAAAAGAGGGAAAAGGAGCAAATCAGAAATCTGATGGCAAGAACGAGGTGTGGAAATCTAGAAAGACGGAATAGGTACTGGGAAGAAGGTAATATGAGAATATTCGATCTGTGCGGAGTGGGAGAGGGGATTTTAAGAGCATTTATTAAGGGAATACAGGGAGACGGGGAAAGGACACAATAGAGGAGATATGCGGTTGGAGAAGAATCGCAGAAATAGATGAGTGGTTAGCAAAGGTAGAAAATAAAAGGGACAAATTTAAGCAGGAAAAAGATGGTCTGGGGGATGAAGTGGTGAGTGGGATAATGAATACATGAATGAATTTAGATAAGATAGAATTGTAAAGCAAGTCCATTTCTTAGCCGTTGAAATTGAAATAAATAATCATTATACTTAACTTTTTTGGAGAAATATTGATGAATAGACGTTATCGAGTTCTCAGTTGTTTAATCAAAAAATTATAAACGCTATTTATGGCTTCGGACAGATAATTCTGTTTCACGTGGAAATTACTCTTGGTATTTGAAGAGATTCTCTCCCGTCAAAGGATCGATTTAGGGCTACGAGGATTCCATTATGGGCGCGGATCGATAGACAGAAGGAATTTAATAGTTGATAGACATTGTTTGCGATCCGTGGGGATGAGGATCGGTAAATCATGACGATATCAGACTATCTTATCGATTCAGCTCGGTCGAGTGTCAAGGCCTCTTTCGATAATCATTTAGCATTATACACCGCGGACAGAACCGCTGTGGGTGGTGCGTCGCTCGATGCGTGCGATTAACGTTGGGTGAAATAGATACGTGTTTGCATTGGCTACTTCAACGCAAAAATTGCGTAATATATATTATCTTCTGAAAAAAATGTTTGGGTAAAATTAATTGCATTATTAACGAAACGCATATATGTATTTTCGACGATTTATGACTAACAAAACGAAGTAAAGTGTGTCTGATTACGTACTGCTTTTTTCACTGTGCCAGTAAACGTATTAATCGGGAATAAATCGAGACACCTGGACGTAGCTTCAGTCCTAGCTCAACGATTCACCGATAAAAACATCGAATATAAGTACTGGAAATCGTCGAGACAGAGAATCGTAATCGCCTGGAATGAGTAATCGATCACGGTGATTCGTAGTTTCGTATTTCTGACAGTATAAAAAGGATCGTTTCCATGAATCGCACATTCTACATACAACAATGACAGTCAGAGGTGATCGTGATGTGTCGTGAATAAAAAACATACCGCAAGTACGTTTCCATAATACGTTTACCGTGTAAAAGAATTTTATTG